TCAGATTGATCCAGAGTCAGATTGATCCAGAGTCAGATTGATCCAGAGTCAGAAAGGTCAGAGACTGATCCAGAGTCAGACTGATCCAGAGTCAGAAAGGTCAGAGACTGATCCAGAGTCAGAAAGGTCAGAGACTGATCCAGAGTCAGACTGATCCAGAGTCAGAAATGTTGAACCGTTGTATTTCTGGTTTCAGGTGCTTCCTTCCTGGCCATCACCACAATCTATGCTGAGTCTGGTTCTGGATTCGTGGTCCCGAGTGCGTCTGCGAAGGCTGGAGTAGAGGCGCTCTTCAAGTCAGTCTGACCTCTCACCTCTACACAGCTCATAACAGGAAGAGGCCGTATTGAACCTGAATGATATTGTGTGTGTCAGGTCTCTAGCTGCAGAGTGGGGGCGCTATGGCCACAGGTTCAACATCATCCAGCCTGGACCAATCAGAACCAAGGTACGGATTAGTTTGATGTTTCTGTTTCTAGGTGTATGTTGTTTTCTTGCCTCTTAATGAGTTGTTGTTGTTGTTGTTGTTGTTGTTGTTGTTGTGTTCAGGGGGCGTTCAGTCGTTTGGATCCAACAGGAGCGTTTGAGAAGGCAATGATTGGTCGGATCCCGACTGGTCGTCTCGGAAAACCAGCAGAGATCGCAAACCTGGCAGCATACATGAGCAGCGACTATGCCACCTGGATGTCTGGAGCTGTGAGTTGATACTGGTCTCAGATCACACTTCTCAAAATCATTTAGATCAGTTTGAGTTCAGGGTTTAGATTGGTATGAGGTTCAGATTCAGACTGGTTTTGGATCTAGATTTAACCAGATTATAGGTCTGGACTTATGTCGGGGTTTAACTCAGACTCTGGTCTCAGCTCAGACTCATCGTCAGCCAGTGTGATTGAGTCTGATTCCACCATCAGGATGTAGTTGATGTGTGTTCAGGTGATCCGGTTCGACGGAGGAGAGTTCGTGTCGATGGCCGGAGAGTTTAACGACCTTCGCAGGGTGAGTTTTACTGACCCTCTGATCCACGTCTCACATTATTGAACAGAACATGAGATGAACCTTCGTCCTGACGAGTGACGTTTGAAATAAAATGAACATGAAACTCAACTTGAATTTGTTTCACTTCAAAATGTTTTTGTTTGTCAGGTGACTCCAGATCAGTGGACAGCGATGGAGAAAATGATTCGAGGAACTAAAGGATCATAACAACCACTCTGACCACTGCCTTGTTACTATGGAGACAGGGGGACTGTGTTCTGACGCCTTCCTGTCAATGAACTGATCAGCTGACTCTGATGTCACGTGACATTCTGCACATGCTCAGTGAATTTACCATGTTTTGATTCTCTCTTGACTGTGATGGTGAGTAAAGCGATGAGGTTAGTTATGGTTGGATTAGTTAGCGTTAAAGATTAGTAATGAAGTTTCCTCCTTCACATCTTTAACTGAGAATTTAACAACAAACAATTAAGTTCAATAAAAACTTGTTTACAACTCGTCTGATTAATTGTAACACAGGTTGTCTCTGCAGCTTTATCTCATGACAACGATTTCATGGAAGTTCATTTTACAGTTTTTCTCGATTGCTTAAGCACGAGTTTCAAAACAGGGCCCGTGTTTTCAAAACACTACACACAATTAGCAAAACACTACAGATCCTTTGCAAAATGAAACACTTGTAAAAAGTATACACTTCTTTTTAAAAACCACACTTTGTTACTATATGAAACACAAACGTTTCACATTACTATACTCTGTTTGCACGAGTTACACTCTGCTGTGATAAACCTAAAACACTTTTAGCACTTCTACTTCCCCATGATTAGAGTAGGCTACTATCAACAAAGTACAAATATAATGTAAATTCACCAAACACTACACAAGACCAATGTTGCAGACTGAAGAAACTCATTTATTTCTCAACACGGTACCTCAGCCTGGAGACGGAGATCCTATACCTTCCACCGCCATGCCGAGAAAAACTCTTCTATAGGGTTGAGGAATGGAGAGTATGGTGGAAGATATAGGACGGTGAAATGTGGATGTTGCTGAAACCAGTTCTGAACCAGAGCAGAGCGGTGGAAAGACACATTGTCCCAGACAACATTATATGACAACCATATGATTGATTTGATTTGATGCTGTTATGTTGGAGAACGATGAACTCACCTACTGCTTTTTAAAGTGCTTACACACCTGATTGTTGTGTCTACAATTAAGCAGACAAGTGTTTGCACACCTGATGACTGTGTTGAACCAATTGGTTGGCCGGTGTGGTCATTTGACAGTCAGTGCTTTGGTATTGCAAGGACGGGACTTGATGATAGATTTTTGTGTGTAATGTATGTTAAGTATGTTTAGTGATTTGCAAATCACTGTGTGTAGAGTTTTGCAACAAGTGTGAGGTTGACAATGTGCTTATAGTTGTGCAAATATGGGCTGATGTTTTGCTTCTTGAGTGTAAGGTTTTGMTAATAGTGTACTACTTTTAATTTTAGTGTGTAAGCAATCCAAAAAAACTGTAAATGGGGACAAGACCCAAAAGGACAAATATGGACATAATCTCATTATTTTCTCTAAAAACTACGCACCAGGAACACTGCCCACTGTCTGTGACTCTACAGGAGAGTCACTACACTGGGTGACCCCGACCCTAAACCCCGGGTGACCCCGACCCTAAACCCTGGGTGACCCCGATCCTAAACCCTGGGTGACCCTGACCCTAAACCCTGGGTGACCCCGACCCTAAACCCTGGGTGACCC